CCTGGGAGGTGAGGGGCTGGCTGGGCCTCTGGAGCCGGCAGCGTAGTTGCCTGGAGCCGGGTTTGAAAGGCTCTCGCGTTAGGGGGGTTAGCAGGCCTCGGTTGCGAATGCAGCTGCGGTGAGCGAAGCTTCAGCGTCGGTAACATCGGAGGAAGGAGCGTTTTCCTGTTAGGGTAGTTGTGGTCGTAAAGCAGCAGCTGTAGGGCTCGGTTATCATGAAGTGGAGGGGGTTTATATCGACAGTGTATGTCTTGTTTTATTTAGTAAAGCAGAAGCCAGTGCCAGTACAGCATTAATCTAGCTTACATTTAGCTTTTAGTATCCTATCATGCTCTTCAACGCTGCAAAAGAATTTATGATGCAGTGACAAAGTAACATGAAGAAGACGTGTTTGAAATTGAAATTAGACTCTGATCGTTATCAGAGCCAGAGAAGATCAGCAATTTTTAAACAAGCTTGATGTTATTTTTACTGTGATAGTTATTGCAACTAAGCTATCAAGAGGCTTCAGTTATTAGGTAAAGCTACATAATTGGAAGTTTGAAAACATACATTTGGGTGGCCTGTTGAATCTGGAGATTGAAAATGTGTGTTCAAAACAATTTAAAAATATAGTCCTGGACACCATTACTTAAAGGGCTTTATAATAACAATGACCTTACTCATCTTGTTTTATGAGTGAGTTCTCAAAGCATTCGTCCTGGATTACTACAAAGCTGAAAGTAATTATGTGATGGGGAAAATAAGACATGATCTAACAAATGGCATATAAGCTGCTGAATAGCTACACGCATATTAAAGCTTGTGGATTTCTAGCAACTGGTTCTAGAATGGTTTAAGTTGTGTCTCACTTTGTTTCTTCTCTGAAATTTCTTCAGTTGGTACTTAAAATCGCAAATATATACTTTTTTATCATTTTTTACGTTAAAAAAGACGTTTTAAACAATTTCTGCAGTGCTGTCTTCTGTATAAGTATATGAGTACATTGTAAGATGGGTAGTTTCTTGAATGACATAGTTTTTTTTTTTTTTTCTGTCTTGGAGCCACTTCTAGTGTTAAATAATTTAGAAGTGATTATGTTGTTGGTGATATATAGCAATTAGCTTTTGTGTGGGGAATAAAACTCTCTGAGCGCCAACAAGAACTGTTGATATTCTTCTTAGGTCAGTGTTCCTCAACAGAATGTGTTTTGTGAACAGGAACTTCTGGCTGAGTATTGCAACAAAGGTATTAAACTAGCAACTAAAATTTGGATAATTGATTTAGGGCTAAGTAGGAAAACTTGGTCCTCTGTGACCACTACCGAATTCTTTACAAGTAGTGCATATAGAACAGAAAGATAATCTGACTTTGAAGAGGTTTGAAAGCTATTATAAAATTGCCAGATCCTTACCTGATAGCCTAAAGTTCACTTGATAAATGACTGAGCATAGCCTTTCTATGAACTGTTTCTGATAATGCTGCTGGTCTTTCTCATCTTTTTGGTGTATTATGATTATGAAACTTGTTGCAATATGATTCCTAATGATCTTCAGAGCCTTGAATTTCCTGTTACTCCTTTTTTTTTTCTTTTATTTAAACTATGCCCAAATAATTAGCATTTTCAGAAGATTTTTAACAGTTGGGAGTTAGCAAATGTGTATAGAAATGTGGCTTTGTTATAATAATATAAACTAATGTCACAAAAGTTGGCAAAAATACTAGCAAAATAAATTCCTTAATTTGCCTTACAAAAAGTTACCTCAACAAACAGATTTCTACATTTAACAGAACTTTCCTCTCTCTCTACTTGACATACACAGTTTACATAGGATAAGTTCTCTCATTTCATCTTTTGTTGTAGTTTTTCTTGCTAATTTCTGCTGCTTTAGTGGTTAAGGACTTGAAATAATGATAAGGAATTACAAGGCCTCACTCCTGGCTCTCTCTGTCCCTGGAACTAGTATTTGGCTATTTTTCATTTTGTTTAGAGTCAATGGTATAATTGCAGGCAAATTTTGTTTTTGTTTTTACACGAAGAGCTACACTGAGAAAGTGTGCATATTATATCTGTCTTGCACATACAAGTGTATGTAAACATTTACCTCTTTCAAAACTCTAAATTTTTTTACATAATTGATTCGAAAGATCATTATTATTCAGTCATTCAGATCATCTGATATCTTCTGAGAGTGAACACAGCCTCTAAATTTGGCATCTGCATATTTGAAAGTGTAATGCCTTGTTGGCAGCGTTCAATTTACTCACAGGGCTAAGGTCAAGAATTGGTTGAAGCCTCCCAAGTATTTAGAGATATCTGTTTACTAAGCACTGTACTTAAGTAATTAACAAGCTCATATACAGTGCCTAGCAAAATGGGAACTTTATCTTAATTGAATCCTCTAGTGTGGTGATAGTAGCCCTTTTTGAAATGTTGTATTTGCTCAGAAATATTCTTTATCTGCTCTTTTCATCCCTTAGGAAGGTCTCCCCTCCTCTTTCCAGCCCTTGGCTGTTACTGCCTACGCGCACAAACTGTTTTTTAGCTTGATTCTTTACTGCACATCACTGTATGCTCTGCCTGCTCAGCAGGGGCAATAGCAGCAGCAGCTGGAGTTGGAGCACCGGCCACTTGATGGGTTTATGCTTGTAGTCCCAAATGCCAGTTCTGGCACACCTACCACTGATTCATTTAATAGCTCTTGATTTTATTGTAACGGTGTTTGGTCATCCTCCTTTGGGATGAAGGTTAGTAACTTCCTTCTTGGAGAGATTTAGTTGCTCAAAACCAGAAAAAGGTGGCACTGAGCAACTGCAGCTCTGGGAATGTCCCTTTTAAAAAAGTTGCTACCTCTTATTTTAATCTAGGTAGGTAATAAAAAATAAAGGCAGAGTTCTCCATCTTGTAAAGAAACATGTTTTATTTACAGCTAGAAGTTTCATAAATTAATTGCAAACACCAGCCTGAATTACTGAGGCCCACATTCATCAGACCGCTCATCCTTGTGTTGCCACTTTTTAAATGGCAGATTGTGGTATAGCTCCCTCTCTTGAAGCAACTTTACCGGTAGCCCTGCTTTTACAAAATTTATGCTGGTCTCAAGAAAATGAGAATACCTTCTTTATGCATACATTCTTGGAGCCAATTGTATATCCTACTTACAGTGTGACTCAGTAAGCTCTTTTTTTTTAAGCTTGCCTGATAATTTATAGCAGTCGATCATGGTTTAACCTGCCTCTGTATGATAAAAAAATTAAGCCAAATACATAACCGTACAAGAAATGAGAATAAAAATAATGATGAATTTATGTAAAATATTGCTTATTACTAAATTTAATATAATACATGTGACTACAGTTTGTTTCTTCACAGCTGTGGCCTTATCTAGAAATGAATTCTTGAACTTTTCCTGAATGAATTCTTATGTAGTTAAGTGCTTCATCAGCCTGCTGACTGTCTTTTGTCTACTTCCATCTTGGTTATGCTTTTTTTTTTTTTCTGTAATTTCACTAATTTCTCCATTTTTCTCCCATAATCACTCATCACATTCATGGCTTGTTTCTTTCTGCTTCAGTAGAACAGTTTTCATTTGTGTCCAACCTTTAACAGTTTTAAAGCCACGTTTTTAATTCCCTATGCTAATAGAATAGAAATAATTTCGAATACATGTGAGATCCTACCAGACCAGGCCATAAGTGTTTCTTTCTTGAAAGTCAGCATCGGGAACCTGCAGAATCCTAGTATGAGCACTTTAGTGATCTGTCGTCATAGCAAAGGTTAAAACATAAGATAGATCACCACATATACACTACTTGTGATGGAATTAAGACAACATTCCCATACTGAATTAGTATGATTTATCATACGTTAAGATTTCTTCTTGGTAAATACGGGTGGTTACTGAAATTTGAGTTGTGGCATTCAGAATTCTCGATAAGTGACTAACATTTGGGATCTGTTATTTTTATTACCATCTGCAGGACAAAGTTTGACAAAAAATAACGAACACAGTGATAAGTAAGACGTAGAAGCCTTATCATGAAGCTTTGATGCTACTGTGTAAGAAAGCTTGAAACGATACTTTGGGTGCTCAGAAACAAGAAACTGAATCCTTAATGCATTGTCATTGAAGTTGTTAAGCTTTGTCTTAATGTCAGTCACAGCCTAATTTTGTGTGCTACCATTTTATAGCACTTCATTGACTCTAAATAAGCTATTGTTATTAAATTTTGAAGGAAGTCTGAAGATAATAATTCCAAATGTTTTGATGGTTAAGGTTTCTTAACTTGCATAGGACATAGATGTTTGGTGCTGTTTGCAGAAGCTTATTATTTATTTTGTAACTCTTCAAGCACAGAAGTTTTTGAAAAAAATCTTCTATTTTTTTATGGTTTTTGTTTTCAGTATTTATTCAGTTGCTCCCTTGGAGACAGATTACATTGTCAGCATAACTTTGACAAAACTCTCTTTTTTTTTCCAATTCAGATCAATCCTACAATTTTATTTTTCCAGTGTGTGCTGAGTCTGTCTTACAAATATTTGTAAATAGCTGTCAACATTTAATTTGGATTTTATGTCCAGCAGGCTCGCAGATGGGTCAGGGACTCTGGAGAGTTGCTAGGAACCAGCAACTACAACACCAAGGATACAGTGGACAAGGCTATCTTACCAGAGAACATGGTAGGAGGATAGCTACTAACAATGTTTCCAATACAAGCCATCGCAAACAAGCCCAAGGAGGCATTGACATCTACCACCTGTTGAAGACAAGAAAATCTAAAGAACAAGAAGGATTCATTAACCTGGAAATGCTTCCACCAGAGCTTAGTTTTACCATTTTATCATACCTGAATGCAACCGATCTCTGTCTAGCTTCATGTGTCTGGCAGGATCTTGCTAATGATGAGCTTCTCTGGCAAGGGTAAGCAAAAAAAAAAAGTATCACCTGGACATAGTAAAAATAATTATTAGATTTTAAATTTGTCTCAAGATGTGCTTTTTGTCATTCTAACCTTAGCAAAGGTTTCCTAAGTTAAATGAGATTTGTCATAGGAGAAACATGAATATAGTTTAAAAATGTGTTATTCTGGATTTCTAATTACTATCGGGTATTAGTGGAGATTACTACAATATATAAAATACACAAGTGTGCTTTGTACAAGTATACATGTGTATTACTACACACCTGTTGTTTGATATATCATGGGGAAAAAAACAAGGACTTGTCTTCACTTTTGTATTAGGTCAAAGTACATCTCAAATGTTTGTACTTCTCTGAACTTCAAACAGGTATCTAGCTTGAGCAAACAAACCTATTCAGCTGAAGCTCCAGATAGAAAGGGATGAGAACTCATCTACCATACTTGTCTTAGAGCAACTTAAGTGTCTGGTTTTTGGGTGACGGTGATGGAAGGGGGAATGAAAAGGTCACTTCTGCAGATGCGTCAAGTGAAATTTCTGCAGTCTAACAGTTGAAATACATTTATATATCATATGCAGTTTGTATGTCCAGGAAATAAATAAAGGCGTGTTCTATCAAATAAAATAATATAACATCAAAATTTAATTAAAGATATTTCCCTTGATATTTGGTGTTTTACAAGACTAGGAAAGACTCATTAAATCATACTTACCTTTAGAGTAGTCAGCAGAATTGTATCTTCTTTCATACCATATTCTTACCCCTTAACAGACAGTAAGTAGTATTACTGTAATAGTTGGGTGGTTGTTCAGGTCCTGTTTCTTTTCCTTTCGTTGTGCTTCACATCTCTTCCTTCCTTATCTATTTCTTTGCCCCTCTGCATTTGAATTAAGCAGCTTCCCTTCCTATCATGCTTTATGAACTCAGCAAGTGGATAATGCAGTTATAACTTTAGTCACAACTGTTCTGCTGTTGGGGACTGTTGTCTTGGCAGGAGACAGGAATTCTAGTGAAGATCCTGCTAAGCTTCTAAGTTTATGTATATCAAGTAGCTTGGCAGTTGGGTAAGTATGGATTGTATTGTACTTGGTTCTTGGTATCAAAACCGCACTAAATACAAATAAATTTCCTGGACCAAAGCTTAAAGATACTAGAGCTTCTTAATTGTATGCAGTATATATTCTTAATGTACAGGGGGGGAAAAAACCCCACATATTTTCCTCAGACTTCATCCTGGGAAATAGCTCCATCATTTTTAGTGAAATCTTCCCAAATAATACTCAGTTCAAAGTATACACTTTGGTAGTGAAAATGTGTCCTGATTTAGCAAATTAATAAAAATCTCAAATTGTGTAATATCTGTAGACATCTTAGTCTTCAATATTCCACCTGTATTGGTTGTGTTTGAGTTTAGGCTTTGGCAAGTCCTGTGGCTGCAGTACTGAACTCACTCCGAATAAGACCCAGGTTCCTGAACCGAAAACAAAGTGTCTTCCATGTCCTCAATGGCTACCTGCTGGGTCCTAAGCATTGTGCCTAATTATTTACAGAACAGATGTGTTGAAGCAGAACTACTTATTCAATAAGGAATCCAGATAACAATCGGTGCCTAGAAGGTGAAAGTTCAAGGGAATTTCAGATGGTGTCATCAAGGAGACTGAGATGAGGGACAGAAACCAATGAAACTGAGATACGGAGTCAGGGTGGGATAGAAGGGAAAGAAACTGAGTAGTGATGGAAGATACAGAGGGATGGGGCTGGATCAAATAATTAAGAGTGGTCAAGACTGGAAAAAGGACAGTCAGGTGGAAGAGGACAGATGGGGAAAGTAGTGAGTTAATGGCGTAATTTTGTGCAGATGTGGTGTCCCACTTGCTGCACAGCTGGGGCACGAGAAAAGAAACGCAACTTTTTAAACTGTCGTACTGTTGCAGGAGAACAACTTGTCACAGTTACCCAGTGTTCAGATACTGGGAGTGCCAGAGGTCTCCGCTGTGTGGCTGTTGTTATGATGCCACCTACCGGGATACGTTTTGAGAGTGCACTCAAATACACCAAAACCCATGTGAGAAGAAAATAATCATATAAATGAAGACTTCAGCAACACACATGCAAAAGGCTTAATAACTATTACAAGCCACCTATTTCTGAGTGTTCATCTAGTCTGAGTATTTGGCTTTGTAGTGTTGATTACATTTTGCTTCTGTAAAATACATGAAATACAGAAAAGAATTTTGATAATAGACTAATTCTATTTTCATAGGTTGTGCAAATCCACTTGGGGTCACTGTTCTATATACAATAAGAATCCGCCTCTAGGATTTTCTTTTAGAAAATTGTATATGCAGCTAGATGAGGGCAGTCTCACCTTTAATGCCAACCCTGATGAGGTAAGTGAACTGTTGCTGACACTAATAAACAGTTAAAATAATTGTGATTGTTGGTTTATAATTATAGACATTTTAAAACCCAAGTTTTAATAGGTGTTTGTTTTACTATAGGAATGATTAATACTAAGTTACAGCTCTATCCTGATCTCTTTTTGCATATGGTACCTGTGCACATCATTTACATGGCTTGCCTCTTAAGTGCTCTGTACAGCGGTCTGACCTATGGATGCCAGAAACTCATAACCATGTATTGACTTAGGAATGAGGCAGAGATCCTAACTGACGAGACAATGGTGATTTTAAAAAGGATAATAATATGCTTATGTAAATTGAAAAGCTAAAATGCTTCTGCAGAGTATGAGTTTGATCCCACTTCAGTTAAAGCAGGATGGGGTATAAAGTAACACCAATTCATCTATGACAATTACGGTTTCTTGTAAGGGATTTTTAAATATTTCCACTACCAAGGAGCAAATCTTGAAATACTACGAAAAAGATGTACTGCTGAACTATCCTAAAGGTCAGTTTCATTTGCTCTCTGTGGATGTTTGTTATGCATAAACATAATCTTTCTTTGTAGTATATAACAACATATATCTATTTTCAAAAAATACCCCATGTCAAACTAAAAGATTTCCATTTATTAATTCATGTAACTAACTGGAGAAGTCAGTTTCTGCTTTCGCTCTGTCACCTTTCAAAGAAGAAAAGAGTTTGAGAGTAGACAGTTTTTGCCTGGGAGATACGCAATTAACGCCCAAGTGGCAGAGAGAATCATGTACAAAACCAGGCTCCTGCTTCACATTTCCTAGGAAAAGAAGGTACACAGTACTGAATAAAAAGTAGTATTAACGTGCTGCATATATTTATACATACACAAGGAAGTGGTAATTGAATAAATCTAAAGTAGGAAAAGGATTGAGAGACATGAAAAGATATACTTCTAGGAGCCAATAGTTCACTCTGCTGATATCATACAGAAAACATGAACTTGTGACCATGGGGTGAAATAAATAAAGCAGTCGTATGAATCATTACAATAATGTGATTTTGTTTAAATTCTTGCTTTATCTCATATTCTGCTTGATAAAGAAACCCACTACTTTTTATTAGTCACAAATTACAGTATTTTGTAATTTCTCTGGTAGAGCTCTGCCTTGAACTGTGATACGCAGTGCTGAGACGTCTTATCAGCACCTTGCCACTTGAGTGATTAGCATTGATTTTCAGCAGGCTTTTAGTGAATTTAGTAACAAATGTAAAGCTTTTCAAATGAAACACAATATTTAGGTAACTGAAGTGTGTTTTCAAGAATATATCGTTTTAATTGGTAACAGCTTTGTCCACCCAAATTTTTCTTTGTGTTTCAATTTGTTTTAACATCATTTTTCACTTAATATCTTAGTTTATAATATGCTGTTATATTCCAACCTAGTTTAAAGTAATCTTGGTAGGCTTAAAGCATTTGGAGCCTTCACAAAAGGCACTGAATAAAAAATTTGTTATTTTTAAAGGAAATTAACATCTGCAAATTAGAGCTACCTTATAGTATACCTAAATTAGGTATTAAATTTATTATGCTACACTTACTTCTGGTTTCATTATGGTTATATTGTATAGTGGTAGTACAAAAAGTCTGCTTCAGGCCTAGTGAGAGACAAGAACCTCAGGGTATCTCCTAAGGGCTTCTGTTCCTCTCTCCCTGTGGAGCACCATAGCCTGGTAGGAATCACTCAGGGCCTGAGTTTCAGGAGAATTCACAAATACTATTGCTTTGATTGTTTACGACTGTGATATTGGCAGAATTATTATTGTGACTGGAATATATGATATGACATTCCACTATTACAAATTGCATCTCCGAATTTCCTGCCAAACTCTGCTTTACATTTGATAACAGACCTGATCAAATTACTATAAAAATAGGAATACTTACAGCCACAGGAGCAAGATTCTCCAAAGGACACCGCCCATGTCATGAAAATGGGTAACCAGGCTCCACAGCAACAGCTCCAGAGCTAGCGGTGGCTCACGGGGTAGGGAAGAGCATCTACACACTTTGTGGTAGGATTCTCTGGTTAGCCATTGTTGTGTGCATGGTATTGTGATATCTGCTGTAATTTAATGTATTGATTGTGTGCATGAGCTTGCATAATTCATAACAGATGCTCACATTCTGCTGAAAGGATGTGCCTAATCACATTACACCTAATCTGAAAAAAACTCCAGTGCATGTTTGGTTTCTCATTGTTTTTTTTGTTTGTTGTTTTGGGGTTTTTTTCATATGGCAGCACCATAATAGCCAAGATTTTGGAACTTGGTTTTTGTTTCTTTGGGGAGAAGGGGTGGTTTAGTGTTAGTATTAACACTTGAATATGAATATTATGTTGTTTAATCTGCCTACATGGTCTCTGCTGTATTTTATTCTAAAGAGTATATGGTGTATGTGAAATGTTTCTCACGCAGTGCTCATTTCATATCTCATACGCTTATGACTCGGAATTTGTAAGCAATCAGAAGCTATTTCCCTATTGTTTTGTATACTGTTTCTAACTCCCTACAAAATATTTTGTCAAGTTTATTACATGGAGCTATGCTATATAGTTAAAATTTGAACTGAAAGTGGAAAAGACAATCCTTTGGTCAGGAAAGAAGATCTAATTTTTGTTTCATTCATAATGATGATGATTCCAACTGATTCTGTTTAATAGCATTTATTTTTATGGAAATTTTTTCTATTGGAATCTGGACTGTACCAAAACAGTCAGACTTCAATGAGGTCAGGATTTCCTTTACGTAGCATAATAACAATGAAGTACAGTAAGACAGTGCTTATACTAAGCCTGGCTTTCCACTCTTCTGATTCTCTCATTCAACTGCCCTTAGTTTTTGCCAGGGAGGTCAGTTTTCTGACTTTTTCTTGATTATAAATAAATTGTTAGCCACTTGCATAAAGCTACCTTACCTGAATTTTAATTATAGATAGTCTGGATGATGGAATATTTACTGTGCTGTATATTTCTAACCAAATTTTTTGAAAACTTAACCTGTTTCATAGTGATCTAATAAGCAAGCCAATTTTGAGATGCATTGATTTATCTGTCCTAAGAATATTAAAAGTATGTGTATGTTATAGAGGGAAGAAGTTCTTTTGTGTCATTTGTCTAAAAAGTTGGAATGGACCAGACAGCTGAAACCTTTTGAAAAGTCTATATAAAAGTCAGAGTCTTGTAAATTATTACTTATGGATTCTGTGTAACATGAAAAATATTTCTACGTTCTACTTGTGATTTCTGCCATCATAAGTGTGTATCACTGAGACTGTATTTTAAAGACATACAGTGAAAGAGACACTGCTTGAAATGTATGTTCTTATATTTTGTCTGCATTTGTCACCAAATGACTTGATTTGTAACTTAGGAAAAGAATCTTCAAAATTTCTATTAGAAAAATATAACATCAGTACTGTGCATTTTGTTCCAGAAGATGTACCATGCAATATATTAAGATAATGCATTTCCCTAGAAAAGTGTGAATAATCATACCATACATGTCTAATTATTATTTACTAATAATGTTAATGTTACCTAGAAGCTCCGATTAGAAATTGAGGCCCTACTATGCCAGATACTGTATATCCAGAATAAAATGACAGTCACTGCCCCCAAAGAATTATCTAAATAATTAAGCTAATATTTAAACTTGAATTCCTATATTTCTTCAGCTTTTATTTAATAACGTTTTAATTTGGTTGGTGATCAAAATTGTCTTTTTTTTTTTTAATACAGTACAGACTAGAAAGAAATCAGCATTTTATGTTGATACTTATGTAATCCTACCAAAATGTAAAAGCATATAACTCACAGAATTATAAATCACCTAAAAATGTTAATATGCTACTAGTGATTTCCATAGTCACCTTTTAAAACTATTTAAGCTAAACAAACAGAGCATGTGTGCAACCATTTATGTAAAAGCTGAAATTTGACAAATTTGTCATATAGTTTCCTGCACTACTTTTAAATGTGCATTAAGTAAAAAGCTTCATTGTCTCCCAGCTCTGACTTTGCAAACAATTCCATTCAAATATTAGAAAGAGAAATTACGTATATTTGTAGAAAAATACTGATTCCAAAATTTCTATACCATTAACTTAGAATATGTCTGGTTTGTTTTGTATGCGTATCTAAACAGAGGTGTGAAAGGCAACTACAAAAGTTTTAATGTTGACTGCTGTACTGAAATGTTCTGAAAGTAGTCTTAGCAGAGGACAAAATCAATGCAGAAATGAAACCAGTACTTAAAAAAGAAAACTTTTCGGGTTTAGATATCCTGTATGGATATAAATGAATGGAAGGGTTCTTGGGAACAGGTAGAAAGCAAGCTAGGAGTGTCAGTGCCATGATAGAATAGGTTGGTAAAACAAGCATCGTGTGACTGGGGGAAAAAAAAAAGGAGTGACTGTAAAAAATAACATATTGAAATACAACGAATGGCTTTTGTTGTTACTGTTACTCTATGGTTATGATTGTTATTTGCACATATAATTTAAATCAACACTTTCATACATTAAGATTTTATCCAGAGCGGTCTGAAATTCAGTGGTAACATTCTTGCCGCAAAGGCAAGGTATCTTTAAGGCATCTTTCCTAATTCTCTAATGCTAAGATCATAGTGACAAGCAGGCTCCTGGTATAAGTTGGGCAGACACAGAGCTACTGGAAATCTTAGCTGTTGTACTGTTCACCTAACTGCTCTTCCACTAAATTAGCTTTAGAAGACCATAGCGTGTGTGCTCATCCTGCAGTGTTTCCTAAGTGTTAAAAAGACCTCTTCAGACGTGGTTGGTAGTGGCACGGATCTGCCTACCTGACTTCAGTCAAATGTTTCCCAAGAGAATACCAGACGACTGATAAATAATCTTAGCATGGATTTTAATAGTATGTAGAACTACTTATTTCAGCTAGTATACCTGCCACAAGTGACCATTTTAGCTACCATAAGTGATTTATTTGAAGTGTGGGTTCTGAGAGGAATTCCAGGCAGTGTTTACAGTGTTAGAAAAAGCAGATTCGATGACATGCTGTAAATCTTGCAACTAAGTTTCATTTGCCGTAAGCCAAAATTTAAGAACTTTAGAGAGAAACCAGGTTTCTATTGTTGCAAAGTATTTGTGGTTGCTTAGGAAGAAATGGAAAGCAACTAAAAATGATGGCATGTGCTGAAGTATATTTTGTTTATACTCTGTTTATTTGTGAAGGAGATGAGGAAAATTAATAACAAGACGGCATTCACAGAGAAAGATATTGTCAAGCATTATGTGTGGTGAGGGGAGAGAGAGGGAATGAGAGACAGGGAATAAAAATGGTTTGCAAAGACTTGGTAGCCTATCAGGTGAAGATCCTACATTGAGTTGAAATCTAGTGCATGAAAGAAATACTTGGGGCATTTACTGTCACAGAGAAACCAACCCATTGTCTGTCTTAAAGAGGGTGTCATTTTCATACTGCCTCATCTATGATGTGCCAGGTATTTTCTGGATATGTTGCAGGTTTGTTAAATAATTGCAGCAAGACTTCCTCACTGGGCTTCAGTTTGTGTTACCTTAAGCATATATGTATTACTGAAGCAAATGTGTGAGTCTCATTAAGTCAGGATCTATGTAAAGGAGGTGTTCTGCTGCTAGTCTTGTATAAATTGCCAGAATACTTGAGGAATTAATATGCAGTTGATGTTCTTTTTGAACTCCCATTTTTAGTTTCCCTTTTAGCTCTAAGTCAAGAAAGTACTTAACCTTATGTTGTCCATCCATATTATGGACAAACTTAAATATGATCTAATTTGGACTTAAATGCAAGCTTATAGTTCAATACATGTTTCATTACAGTCCTAAGTAAAGATTCTTTAATCTTTACTTAGGGCCTAAAATTGCTAGGAATTTTTTTTTTGGTCTTACCTGTATAAAACCTTTATATTTTTATTTATTTTATAAAACATTCTTGTAACAAAAAAAAAAAAAGTATGCTGATTAACTGCTATTTTCTATAAATATATAAGCAAAAATTATGGACTGGTAAAAAAAGCTAGGTAATATTACAGGTGTTTGTTGGCTTTTCACTTGTGTTATCAATATCTTAAGCATATATTCTAATTTCTTTTTTGCTTGATATAACTGAGACTTTGCTTTACTAATCCATTTCATAAAAAAACTTTCCAAACCTGCACTCAGTCTTTTATTTCTTTTTTAAGTAAAATTGAAGAGCACTGGGAAGTTAGTTTATATACTAAATGATAGGTTACCCCTACATCTTTATAGACATAATGTAAACTGAAAGGGCAGACTTGCAAAATATTATGAAGTCTGATATCAGAAGATTTATGAAAAAAGATTTCAGAAGTATTTTAAAGGTGATTTAGGTTGTGGCCTTGGTACATTATCCTATGCAGAAATGCACTGTCCTACACATTTTACATTATTTCAACAGTATGGTGTAGTCAAGAGATACTGTACTTAGGTATTGTAACAGTTCCTTGTAACAAATGCTCAGAACCACTCCCAGCCCCTGCCAAATTGAATTGAAACTAGTTGGTTAGTTATTCTCACATTTAGATTTGTGTTGTTGAAAAATGTGAACATTTTTAAAATCCCTTAGGTTGGTTTTGATTTCTGAGGTCATAAGGAAAATAGTTTTATGCTTTGGGATATTTCAATGATCAGAAAGAATCCAGAATACCACTGAAATATTTTAAAATGAAATTTGGCGTGTGTATTCTGTAAGAAATGTGTGCTTGGCAAAGTGTGGAAAATTCTGGAAATCACAATATGAGTATAAAATATACACAATTGTTGTATCTTTTTAAACTTTTTTTTTATGTTAGGCACAGTGTTCTTATTTATGTGTATGCATATTTATATATGTTGATATTTACCTATGCTTTGAAATCAGTGTGCTTGTGTTTATTTGCGTTATTACACATTTAAACAAATGCATTTAATGCATCTATTTGAATGTGATACATCGCATACATGTGAGAACATTAATGTTTTAATGAAAGATATTAAAGACTAAACACATTATGGCTAAGATTTTCTTATTTACAAAGGTTATGAAATTATCCCCGCAGCATTTTAAATACAATTACAAAAGTATGAAAACCAAAACACTAGTCTACATGGTAAAGAAATTATTAAAGAGCCATCATGCTCATTATGGGGTTCATAACTTTAAATTTCCTACTGTGAGTATATGTAAAATCTCAACCATAACAATAAATCGTTTCTTTGCATTTGATTTATGATTTTAGAGTGTATTGTGCATGTTGAAATGTGATTTAGAGGAAGAGGAATCATTCTGAAAAACAAACCAACTAATTAGTAGGATTATGTTCCTACATTGCCAAGTACAATACTTGTTCCTAAACACATTATGAAGATTAAACATATTTATACGTACATATATTTTATCTCAGGGAGTCAACTACTTTATGTCCAAGGGCATACTAGACGATTCGCCGAAAGAAATAGCCAAGTTTATCTTTTGCACAAGAACACTAAATTGGAAGAAGCTGAGAATCTACCTTGATGAGAGGTAATTTGAATTTCTCTTGAGACATTTCCTATTAATTTTCAATGTACAGTACCACTCAACAATATTTTGCTTGTATTGATGTAATTTTAAAGATGTAAAAATGCAAGAAAATGCAACTAAGTAATGCTGCTGCTAAATCTGAACAGTTATTCAGTTCAAGTATTTATGTGACTGTAACATTTTATAAGAACCCCTGAAAATACCACCTATAACTAGGGAATCTTACATCTTGTGCTTTTTCTGCATTTTTGCAGTTCTGGGCGTAAATTGTTTTGAAGTTATAGCAAGCATTTAAACTGCACAGGGTAATCTTTGTGCTGTACGACACTCAGATTTTATAGATATTTTGCTACTTATCTAGTATGGGTGTTAATCAGAAAAAGCAGTTATCACTTTACCAAGTGATGATAGCTTTTTAACTAATGTTGAATCATCTAACCATTATTTGGTTGTCTGATATTTCTCAAATGGCAGTCACACCCACCTCCCAAGATGCAACAGAGCATCCTCTTGGAGACAGCATGAGCTGCAGTAGGGAACACTCTCCCTGTTGTAGCATGCTCTTCTACCTCCACAATGCTTTCTCTTGCCCTCCAGGATACCTTCAGGTTGGGGTAGTGCAATATCAGGAAAGAGGAGCACCAACACGTTCAAGCGAAGTTGAAAGAGGAGGAGAATAATAACTGGACCTAAATAGGAAGAGCAGAGGGACAGCAGCGCTTCTAGCAGGAATCCTCTCCTGCTTCTCATCCTCCTCAGCCTGTACCACTAAAGTAGTAAAAGGAGTCATTCTGTAGTGTTATCACCACTGACAGTCCTGTACTGTAAAACTTAAGATTATCAATTTTTTTGGCAATAGAAAAAAATACAAAACCATTTAACAGATGCGATTGCAAGTTGTTATTATTAGTGACCCCTACTGCGATTTATCTTCCCTTCGTAAACAGAGTGTAATCAGGCACTAAAAATAAAAACTAGGTTTCTAAATGTTGAAACTCCCCTCCTAGTACTGAGATGTTTAATAGAAAGGAGAAACATAAGAGAATATTCTTTGGTTCCCTTCAGATTTGCTTCCAAATTTCCTTCAGATGTCTTTTGCACATCTGTTCATGTAGGCTAGTCTGAATCCTTTAGATGTTTGTGTTCAGTGGAAAACACTTGAGAGCATCGCACCCTGATGGATTTAGACCTTAAAGGGGTTTTGTGAGCAAATTTTATCTAACTTAAGCCTGGTTTTAACAAGATACTCCTGTAACAGCTTCTACTTAGGCACGAAACTGTGTGACACACATGAATCTGTTCCCTTTACTGTCTTTTTTAATGGCTTTGTCAGACAGTTTAAAGGAAGCGAAGCCTCTGTGTGGACTGTGATTGAATATGCATATAAAGAAACTTAGAATTCTGAATAATATGTATTTTTATACTATTTGGCTACTATTGTAAGCATCTGAAGAACGTGTTTATGTTATCTTTGTGCTGTTAGTAATAATTTTATTTGTCTTTCAGCAAAAAACAAAGCTCATAAATTATTCTAAAGGTTTCATTTTTAAAACCTACATGTTCATATTTAAACAGTTAAAATTCTCTAATTATGTGGGATTTTATTCTACCAGGCGAGATGTTTTGGATGACCTTGTGACGCTGCACAACTTCAGAAATCAGTTCTTGCCAAATGCACTGAGAGAGTTCTTCAGACACATTCACGCTCCTGAGGAGCGTGGGGAGTACCTTGAGACTCTCATAACAAAGTTCTCTCACAGGTTCTGTGCTTGTAACCCTGATTTGATGAGAGAGCTTGGCCTTAGCCCTGGTAAGCAAAAAAGAGTTTTCATTCAGTGGATTGGTCTTTATATTTCTGGATGATGGTACTGTTTATGATAGTTTTAATATCGGCACCTAAACAAGTATTTCTGAAAGTACAAACTTGGCTTGGGATGGTTCATTATACAGGCATCATCCCACTCGGGTTGAAAAAAACCCCAAAATAACATACAGATTCTTTTCTTAGACCTAGCTGATAAGTGGGGTTTATTTTCATGTTATCTTTCCTTCACTTTTGTCTGTGCTTAAGCTCTGTACTATCTCTAAGTTCCCTCTTGCAAAGACTTACACACTTAAAGTTTTACCTTGTGGATAGTCCCACAGAAATGAAAGGGAATTTTGGGCCTCACTCAAGTTAACAAGCATTTCTAATTGGTTGCGGGGGAGCCAGTTTTCAGTAGTGGGACTGCTTACATAAAGATAAGCTTTAGCAGGATGTTTGCCTTAGTTTACAAAAACTTCAAGAATCTGTTTAAATGAATGTGCATAAAGCCCTTAGTGACTTTTGGATAATGTAGAAATATTAAGAGATTTGTAAATGCTCATTTGGCAATGTGCTGACATTATTACTTTGAAAATTGCTATATTAAGTTCTATTTCACTGGGATACCCTTTGAGTTGTTATATATGTGTGTGTGCATCTATATATAATTATAAGCCCAGATGATGAAGACCGTAAGGTTCTTGGACAAGGAACAATATTTTAAATGATCACAGTTTCCTTTTTAAATTTTTTTTTTGTTTATTCTCTCTTGTCTAGATGCAGTTTATGTACTGTGTTACTCTTTGATTCTACTTTCCATTGATCTAACAAGCCCTCACGTGAAGAACAAAATGTCAAAGAGGGAATTCATCCGAAATACACGACGAGCTGCACAGAATATTAGCGAAGATTTTGTAGGGCACCTTTATGACAACATCTACCTTATTGGCCACGTGGCTGCTTAAAAGCACAATTTGCTAGCACTTAAAGTTTGTAATTTTCAAAAACTACATCAATTCAAGAAATTATTTTGTAGAGATGGGGGTTATTTTAGTGCTGGTCATTCTAACCTTTGTATGCAATCAAAGTTTGTGTGTGTAAGTGTGTGTATGTGTAAACTACCTTTTCTATCTATTTACCGTGGGAACAGAAGGATTTGGAGATTTGTTTTTCATAATTTTTTTTTAGTTTTGCACAAAACAATGTCATTAGTCTGACACAGCCATTTACGAATGTTAAACTGACATTACAGTCTAAGCTGACAAAGTGGTGAATTTGTGCATTAGAACTGCTTGAAACTTTAATAAGTTCATTCTTTTTAGAATACCATGTAATGTGTATATATTTAACTAAAGAGATTTATAATCATAATTATTTTATTGTAAAATATTTTAACTAAAATTTCTCCTTTTATCTCTTAAAAATAGTGTTGTACTTCTTTCTTTCGCATTTTTTTACAATGCTGACTACCTCAGATACATAAGTTAGAGAAATATTGGTCTGAATACTACAATAAAGTTTGTTCTGGGAGATGACAGAACACTTGTAAAATATCTAAGCTGATATTTAATACTATTTTGACTAACTTGAATTAGCATATTGCCAATGTGCTAGTCACTCAATTTTAAAGAAGATTACAACCTCTATTTTAGAGGAACCCTGATATCATACAGGGACAGCCTATGGAAATCACGCAGTTTTCGTAGAGAGGGCTAACCTATATTGCCGACACGAGTTACTGGGGACATAGGACAACTACAATCATCTATTCAGCATGGTAAGCAAGGAAAAATCTCAACAGGGAAAGTGGTAGGGGCAGCTAACGTGTTGCTGCTTTCAGCCGCTTCCCTTGGCCTAGAGTGTCAGTGATGGAAATGCCTGGGCAAATATATACCAGATGACTCATGGCTAAAGCTGTTAAAAACTGACTGTGCAAGAGTAGAGCAGTGACTGTGCAGGACTGGAGAGCCGTTTCAGACTCAGATACTGAATTACCCTTTCTAAATCTGTCATGCAGCTAGATTTTAAATAGTTCTAGATTTATGAAAATACTTCAAAAATGGTTTCGGTCAGGTGGTCTCTTACATTTTCTGAAGTGCGTAGAATATTAGCAGTGCAACTGCTGTGCGTGTGCAGGAATTGAATGAGGATTTGCCGGGGTTTTGTTCAGATAACTCATAGAGCAGTGCTTTTCTTAAATTGACGTAACATGTAGTTGAAATCGGAGCTGTTCCTGATTATGTTTGTTTACATATATTCAGCTGTCGCTAGCATCTGGATTCATCATGGTAACAAGCAGATTCATCCTTTTTCCTTACCACGCTGTGAGATGAGGTAGGAAGATATTCCTGTTTTACAGGTTAATCGGAATTTTTTTTTTTTTCTTTATGTAGGAATTGAATGCAGGTCCTACTCCTCATAGGCACGAACTTTGCCCACACTGCTGCTTTCCGTTTGGCACCTAGGGGGTGTTACATTTGTCTTAGATACAAGAAGAGTGATGAGAATGACAGTCCACATAAGGGCTACATAAAGGACAGGGAGAAAAAAAAATGTAGCTACTGCTGCTATTTCAGGTGTTTAGTACATTTTGTTTATAGTTCTCGTCCACATGCAAAAATGCACCCAGAGAAAACTGGGGGGTGAGGGGGTGTTTATTACATTACCTTTAATCAAATGTAAGTGCCATTCGTATTTGTGTAGCATACACAGCCAAGGCCAGGAGCCAGCAGTATTGCAGCTATTTTCCAGACAGGTTTTACAATACCACTCCTCTGTCAGGATAGCTTCTCATCACTGTACCCTGTGTCATTTCATGTACTTCAGAAAGCCCAAGGATGCATTCCGCAGCGGTCAGTTAATCTCCAACACAAATAAAGAGTATACAATACATTGGGGAGCTTTGTTTAAGGCACAGGTATCTGGTCCTGTTAAAAACAAAAAAGACAAGTTGGAAAACTTCTAACATAATCTGTAAAACCAACAATAAAGGATAAGTGTCTCTGTGCTCCTTAAAGTGATCTTATGTGAAGATTGCAGAATATGGCTTTCTAGAAAACACTCCTCAGAAGTTATACACTTAACAATTCAGTGAATTTTGAAATTACAAGTAATCTTACAGGGAAATGTTTTGTTCTCAAACCACAAATGCAGAGCGAGGCCTAAGTCTCTTCTGACTGGTATTTATGTTGACATTAGTGATACCAGTTTTGATTTTGCACTGATACGAGAGTATGAATTGTTAATCTGCATTTCTCTTAATTTCCAGTTACCCTCAGTTCCCATCCTCAAAGAGGTACAGAGCAAAGCCTCCAGGCAGACAGACCATGTTTTTTTCTGGAATAGATGTATACATCTATTAACAAAGTTTAGAAAGCTTCGAGGCCAGTGTAACAGCCAAGAAGATAAATTAGAAACAGGATGATACAGTTAACATTTCCATAAGACACAAGTCCAGGGCAAAAGAAAAAAAAACAAACCAAAACAAAACCCTAATCACATACAGATAACAGCATCTGATCTTCACAGTAGGATTTTGAACAGTGTTAGAAGGTTAGCGCCCAACTGATGCTGTACATTATGCTACTAACTCAGAATGGAACAGAAAACTACACGTACAACATGCCAAGTGTGTGTTCCCTTAGAGGTAACCAAGAAACAAAAAATGACAATAGACATTTCTTCTGTCCTTTTTTCTTTTGAAGTTTGAGTGTTTCTCCAGAGTGGCAGAGAATTAATTTTTTGCATTTTAAGAATCTAGACTATTCATGAAGTTAGGCAATTTTCTGTCTTAAGAAAAAAAAAAATCCTAAGTAGGTATAACAATACTCTTGCAAGGTGAGAAACATGAAGTTTGAATTCTCTCAGTCATCCTCCAAAAGCCCTCTAAAAACTAAGTTTTGGGCAGCATCTTCTTCAATGCACTATTGGTGCCTCCATGTACATTTTAAAAAAAATAGTATTAGATACTTCATTCATGCAGGTGATGATGTGATGTGGAAATAACTACTTGATCAAACACTTCAGAAGACTTAGACAGAGGATCCCAAGCCTAATTACATGAGCACAATCATACTCACAACTGCAAAGTGATTCCCGAGCCATTGTGATTCCAGCACTGCATGTCCTTTGAACTTCAACCATGTGATGTTGCCTTCTCACCTACTGTACACAGCACTGAAGGAAGAAAGGAGCCTGCAGCCCATCACCCTGCAAATGCTAGTTATTCTGGTCCTGAAAGACACTGAAGTTGTGTTCAGCGTGTGAATGGCCGTTTCTGAAATTTTGCTAATTTTAGTATACACAGATGTGTCAGAAGGACAACTGTTCTTTGTTCGTGCAGGGGAAATGAGTGTACCTGTGTCCATGTAAAGTGTCACATAATACAGCTCATTTTTGCCTGTATTAAATTCTGAGGCTCTTATTGCATTCATTCAAGGAATACGGCATATATTACATATTCACATGGTTTAGTTATAGACAGTGTCTGATATTCTACATTTTCTCCAAACTCCATTTCTGTCTTGAATGCTTTCCTTTCATAGTCTAAACAACACATTTATACAGCTTTGGCTTTTTAAAATAAATCAAAGCTGCTTCAACATACAAAAGCCCAAACAATTATAAGTTAGAGACACATTTGTCAGTTTTGAAGTGGGCAAGAAATTTGCGTTCAGGAAAGAAATATTCAGTTTGTTCTCATCAACTTTTCACTCCCACCCCCCACACTGGAAGTAAAAAAATTATAAACAGTTTCAAAATACAGATTTAGGAAAATAAACTGGCTGGGCAAATAAATGTTACTATTTCTTCTTCAGTGTGTTGCAGTTTATTAATGTACTTTACATAAATTTATCAACAGGAATTGCACTTTTTTGAAGTGGTAATGGTTCTCTGTGCAAGGTTGTCATTGTGCAATCTGATATTTTTATAGTTACATTTTTAGAAAACAAGTATTAAATTATTTTAAGCACTTCAGCAAAATTGAGGTATACCTACTTGATCATGTTAAAATGTCAAAATAACAATATTAAGTATTTAGAAAAGTCAGATTTATTTGCCTTATATTGGACTGGGATTTTTTTTTCTTTTCACATATTTCATGTAAATATCAAAACTAATAAACATTAAGGTTGATGACTTGCTCTCTGCCATTGTAAAATCTACCACTCTAATCTCAAAAGCACTATTAAAATGGACAAAGGACAGACTTAAAGGATTTCCTGTGTCTCCCATAGGCACATTATGGTTTCATTTTGCCTTAAAGAGAAATAATATACAAACTTTTACAAACTACATATAATAGTGATTTCAGTAAGATAAAATTTTATGTGATCTTCTAATATTATTTATTGCATGTTAAAAGTTAAGACTTAACCATACAATGTGTATAATTAAATCATAACCAGTTATAGAAATGAATGTATGTAAAAAGCTTCAAAGAGATCACATTGCTTCTCCATCACTTCAGTGCTTTTGCTGACAATGATGTTAGTAAATGTGCAGTTTTCCTTTCTTACTCATATAAATGAGCTTAGAGAAGAGATGGATTAGAAAATACTTACACAGAATACTTAAATTGCCTGTGTGAAATTTTCTTGCATTAAAAAGGAACTTTCTGTGTTTGCTTTATAATTTAAAAAAGCAAAAAACTACCAATTCATTGAAAGAATGAAGAGGCTACGAAGTTCACTCATAGCATCTAATACAGAAAACGAGCAAAAAGCACTTTTCAGTTTCCTAGCAATCCAGCAAATGCATTATTTTTTAAGCTTAAAAATATTACTTACTGAGTATGTGTACATGACAGAAATCAAGCATATTTATGTGAAAGCAACATGGTCAGGATACCGGTTCTTTTCAGAGAGAGTATTCATTTGTAAAAGTTAGCTTTCTTCTTGGCAGTGTTGGAGAGGAATGTTGGATTTAATTTAAAATGATTAATGAGATTTTGTCAGACTCCCTGCCTTTACCACCACTGCAGTTTGTCAGCACAACAACCTGGGAAACCCGGACGCCACTCTGTCGCCCAAAACAGCTTTCCAGGAAAAAATAAACCTGAGTAACTAGTGCCAGGTACATGTCAATGGTATTGTCTTTCAGCTGTTGAAAGTTTAACTCTAAGTTGGGACATTTACACATTCTGAGGAAGTGAACCTCATTCGTTATTTCAATAGCCTGGTTTTGACAGTGGATACCAGTATAAGCTTAAGTTTTCAGAGCAGGCATAGCCTTTATTATTATGGGAAATCCTATAATCCATGCAGACAAGAAATTCTTTAAAAGGAAAAAAAAAAAAAAAATATGCAAACTTGTTCAGGTAAGTTTTTCTGGCGAAAGACCGTGCATGCAACCTGTCTCATTTTTGGCTGTATTCCGTTAGGAGGACCTCGTCCTCTGAGCCCTACGCACGCGACTAGGCTGC